CCAAAGGGATCTGTCGAGGATAGCCAGGTGGCAAATGGGGTTCAATGTGGCCAAGTGCAAGGTGATGCACATTGGAGCCAAAAATCCTAAATATAAATACACGTTGATGGGGTCTGAACTGGCAGAGACTGATCAAGAGAGAGATCTTGAGTTGTAGTAGATAACTCACTGAAAATGTTGAGACAGTGTGTGACTGCAATAAAGAAGGCCAATGCTATGCTGGGGATTATTAGGAAGGGTATTGAAAACAGATCAGCCAATATCATAATGCCCCTGTATAAATCGATGGTGCGACCTCATTTGGAATACTGTGTGCAGTTCTGGTCACCACACCTCAAAAAGGATATTATAGCTTTGGAAAAAGTGCAGAAAAGGGCAACTCAAATGATAAAAGGGTTGGAACACTTTCCCTATGAGGAAAGGTTAAAGCGCTTAGGGCTCTTTAGCTTGGAGAAACAACGACTGAGGGGTGACATGATTGAGTTTTATAAGATTATGCATGGGATGGAGCAGGTAGAGAAAGAAGGACTTTTCTCCCTTTCTCACAATACAAGAACTCGTGGGCACTCCATGAAATTGCTGAGCGGTCGGGTTAGAACGGATAAAAGGAAGTCCTTCTTCACCCAAAGAGTGATTAACACGTGGAATTCACTGCCACAGGAAGTGGTGGCGGCTACAAGCATGGACGGCTTCAAAAGGGAATTAGATAAGCATATGGAGCAGAGGTCCATCAGTGGCTATTAGCCACAAGGGGCTCTGGGGCAAGGGATGCTCTGTCTTCTTGGTGCTGGGGGGGGTCAACAGTGGGAGGGGGCTTCTAATGTCCCGGCCCCACTGGTGGACTTCCTCCTGATGGCACCTGGTATTTCTGGCCACTGTGTGACACAGAGTGTGGGACTGGATGGGCCTTTGGCCTGACCCAACATTGGCATCTCTTATGTTCTTAAGCACCGGGGTGGGGGTGGGGGTTTCCACCTAGCTGATGGATCCACCTGTTGGGCCGTGTTCCAGCCCTGCATCGGCATGGAAGAAGCGGGTCCCGGGATTGCTTCAGTGTGGGGTTCACACGTAGACCGTGCCAGCCAACAAGCTCTGTGCACTGGCGGCAGCGTGGTGCTGAGGCATGGGAAGCGCAAGACGGCAGGGCTCTTGTGTCCTCCTGGGTGGTGGGGTGGGGGTGGGATGCCCAGGGAGAAGAGCAGGGACCCCTCTGACCCGGAGCTGTGTGGCCTCCTTTGCAGAGATGCGGATTGGACTCACGGAGGAGTTCTGCGTGGGCAAGACCGAGCTGCGAGGTGAGCGCTGCCTGGCCCGTCCTGGAAGAGGAGCTCTTTCCTCCCTCCTCCTCCTCCTCGATGCCCCTTGTCCCTCCTCCTCTCCCCCCAGGCTATGGCACAGCTGTCCGCGTGGATGAGTGCTCTTTCCACGGCTCCGTCAAGCTGGAGGAGTTTGAGCGCAGCCGCATCCTCCGCGTGAACCCCAGCCAAGGGGAGGTAAGGGCACAGGAAACGTTTCGCCCAGCTGCTGGTGGTGGTGGTGAGTCGCCACTCCTGACGCCCGCAACTCTTTCCGCAGCTGACCCTGATGCAGTACCAGCTGGCAGACGACATCCCTTCGGCCCTGCCCTTCCATCTGTTCCCCACCGTCAGCCATGACGACAGCGGCAGGTGAGGGGGTGCCGGGGGGAGGGGGGGCATGCAGGCCACAAACAGGAAGGCGCCGGGGGGGGGGGGCTTTCCCCACTCTCATTTTGCATGTTTTCCCCTTGTAAGATTTCCTTCTCTGGAACTATACAGTGGAAGCGAGGGGGGGGGGGAGAGAACTTCAGTTCAAATATGCCCCCCCCAATTCCTTCGTGATTTTATCTGTCCTGCAGCCATGCCGTGAACGTCTGCCTCCATCTGCCCGTCCCCAAGGCCTCTCTGAGGTAAGCTGCGCCGTTTCCCAGCCGTGGCCGGAGGGGGGGGAGTGTGCCTGCGGCTGTGTGTGGCCCTTTGGACCCCTGTGTGCAGGGGCTGCCGTGCACAGTCGGCCCGGAGAGGCCCAGTGGCCACTCCCTTTGTGCCCCGTAGAGACAGGGAGCCGTACGGAGCTCCACACACAAACCCCCCTTTTGCCTCTGGGTTTTCTCCTCCCCCCCCCCCCAGCGTCGCCCAAGGAGCTAAGCAATCCGGAGCAGACGGCTGCCCTGCAGTCCAGCACCAAATCCATCGAGTGGGTGGTGCCCAGAGTCCAAGGCGGCTCCCAGCTCTCTGCCCTGTTTAAGGTAAGGGGTCCAGCCCCCCCCCCCCAGGTGAACTGAGCTGTCACTGTGTCTTCTGCAAAAAAAACAGCAGCAGCAGCAGAGCACAACCTCTTCCTCCTCCCTCTCCCCAGCTGGAGGTGCCGGGGCTGAGCCGGGCCGTGCTGCGGGAGCTGGGGCCCGTGAGCCTCTCTTTCGAGGTGCCGGCCCACACCTGCTCCGGACTGCAGATACGCTTCCTGCGCTTCACGGGGACACAGCCGAACCTCCCTTACCGCTGGGTGCGGTACGTGACACACAGCGAGTCCTACGTCATCCGCCTTAACACAGGGTAGCTGTTCGTTCTGACGGAAGAGCTGCCTGGAGGCACCAGGTCAGGCCTTGGAGCAATTTCAACAAGGAACCGTTTATTTATTAACAAGGAAACATTAATAGTGCTGGACTAATAAAGAATTATGTCACATGAGTCCCTGAGACCTCCTTCAGAGGGTGGGGGGACCAGCTGAAGCCCAAAGTCAACGTTTTGCGGGTCGCCACGCCCGGCACCCAACCAGATTCTGAGAAACGGGAATGAAACACCCTTCTCTTAACAACAGGGAGGCTGTCCAGAGACAGAACTGACAAGGGAGAGGACCAACCGGCGTAACTGGCACAATCCCTGGCAGCCACGGTGAGGGTGTGATGAGGAACTCGTGAAGAGGGAGGGCTCCGGATCTCACCAGCCACCTTGGGGTGCCTGCCCAGAGAGAGAGAGAGAGAGAGCAGATGAGCAGAGGCATCACTGACCCACCCGCTCCACCACGTTCTGACAACGGGAGCCAGCAGCAGGCTGTTTGTTCATCGGTGTTCTGTTTAGAAGTCCTGCTTCTGGCTGCAGTGCCCAGTGGAGAGCCACTGGTGCACGTGGGCTGCTGCGTGAGCTCGTGGCTGCTCAAGACTAGAATCCCGGACTGGGTAGTGGGTCTCTGAGGTGGAGCCAGGAACCCAAGGGCTGCCCTTCTGGGTCCAGCCAAAGGCGCCTCTCACCCGAGCAGCCTGTCTCCTACCCTGACCAACCAGCTGCCCCTAGAAATGGAGCAGGAGCCTAAGAGTCTGTTGCACCCAGGGTAATCGGGACTGGCTCTCCGGCAGTGCACGGTTGTTGTGATCACAGCAGACCTACGAGAGAGGTTAGGCTGAGAGAGCCTGTGCGGGTGGCCTGAGACCAGTGAGCTCCCAGCCATAGCTCTGACCACGCCATACAGGGGGGGCCTTCTCAAGCAAAGGTTCCCTTCTGCTGGATTGGGGGTTTTTTGCTTGTCTTAATGTGGACCCCTTTACTCTAAAGCCTCCTTTTGTACACTGAAACCTGGTTGCAATAAGGGTCGGTGGGTAAGGGGTCTCACTTCTTGTCATGCTCCCTCGGTGACCTCCGGCCTTTCACCCTGACGATCAGTTGTGAAGGGGAGGGGGCGGCATTGAAGTGTGCTTCTGACCAGCTGTCCAGTCCCCGTCCTCCCCCCCACCCCCAGCACCCAGTAGCCTTGATGTTTCCCCTCAAGAACGAGCTGGCATCATTCACCGACTTGGGCCCCACCTTTGATTCCAGCTCATTTGTAATAGATTACCCCCCACCCACCCCGCTTCTGTTGTGAGGGGCACTCGGTACCTCCTGCCCTCTTCCACCGCCATGGCGTGACCCCACCCCATCGCCCCACGGGAGCCTTTGACTGGGGAGTTTGGTCTTATCCACGTCCTTAACACTCTCCGGGAATTTGAAAAGGATGAGCGGGTGGCAGAAAGACGCAGGCTTGCCAAGCCCCTGCTGGGGGTGGGTAAATTCCTGCCTGGGAGGCCCGTTACCTGCTGCCGCCGTATTGGGCCCTGGGGGGGGGGAACTCCACCCCCTACTGGAGGGTGTCCCCGGAGGTGACATCATCACGCTGGCCACGTTGTGAGGGGGGGGCGACGACACTCTGAATCGAGGGAACACTCGCGGTGACTCCCAACGGAGC